CTCTGGTCTCAGAACAGCCTTCCTGCAGGCCTGGCACACAGGACCACTCCGGGAAAAACTCAGAGGAAGTCGACGGGTTCGATTTTGGCAAGTTGGCTCCTCGCATACCAACCAACCCTGAAAAAAAGGGAGAATGTAGAAGAAAAGACATTTTTACCATAAATTCAAGTTATAGCTTCTTTTTACCCTACCTAAACAACAAATCATACCCAAGGAAGGAAAAAAATCCCAACTTTAATGTCGTCTGTGAAGCTGATATGTACAAAGAGGTGAAGGTCCTTGTGTAAAGTAACACAATCAAACGTGGAAAACAAAGATGAAGTCTTTTTGCTTCAAAATCCCACATTCTGCACCTTGAAGTCACCCCTTCTTTGAAATATACTGAAACCTCTGCACTTCTCCAGTTCAGACAACGTTAGCATATAACAGAATTATTTTATGTGACTATGTAGACCATAGAGCAAGACATGCCAGAGACCTGTAAAAGATGAAATTTTAAAGTGCCATTTCCTTGCTTGCGTTTTAGAGGGGAAAAACAATTTTAACTTCTAGGTTTTCTGATGACAGCAAAAAGCTTTCTTTCTTTTTTTTTTTTCTGAATAGTTTTTTTGTACGAAGCTATTGAGACCTCAGTGTAAACTGACTCACTTAGGAAAAACTAACATTTTGCCGAGCTAAAATGAAATAAAATCTGAGCCAGCATGCTCTATGTCAGCTCAGGGAGACAACACAAAGGGCTTCTCTTAAGAGTATGAAAGAAAGAATGCTTCTGAGATTGGTAAGGAGGTACCTTTTGTACCAGGTCCAACCACAAGTTAAACCAACGCCACACCTCATCTCTAAAAACCACCAATAGCAGATACCTAAGGAATAGCATAAGAGAAAGCACACAGTAAAAGTTTTCCAGATTTTTCTAGCTTTTGGAAATGGCTCAAGGACTTCCTCAATCACTGTCTCTATATTCAGTGGTGATGGATGCATTACTACCCCCATCCCAATGAACTTCAAGTGCTTTTCAAACAAATGTAAACTTTTAACGTCTACAACATCCTGCAGAACGACTACACACTATAGGAAAAGAATCTTATTTTTCTTCAACACATTAAAAAACAATTTTTTTTCTTTTTTAATGCCTTCTAGTTCTTATATTGGGAGAAACTAGGAATAGTCATTCTGTGTTCACCTTTTCCATGCCACTCATGATTTTACAGACCTCCATCACATCACCTGCAATCAAACTCTTTTCCAAACCACAGTCCTAATTTACTTACTTGTTCCTTGCATGGAAACCACTCCACATCTTTGTTGCTGTTCTCTGAATTTCCTCCAGGTCTTCTTTGAAAGGAGGGGTGGGGATAACAGGACAAATGAGGAGGGAGGTGAAACCAGTATTGCACACGGTATTCAGGATGCTAAATGCACATGAATTTATACAGAAACAAGATTGTATTTACCATCTTGTTCTCTGCTCCTTTCCTTCCTCAAGTTCTGTTTGCATGGAGCACTACTGAGCATTTGAGCACTGAGCAGTCATTTCTAGAAAGATATTTATTATTACCCAAGAATATATATATATATATTATAATTTTATTATGCAGTAGTAAGTCATTACACACATTGTATGCAAAATTAAGATTCAGTTTTCAGCATCTGCACCACTTAACATTACTTGGCAGAGGATTTAATCTTCCACTGTTAACTGACAAGTCAACTTGGTATCACAAGGTCTTTCTGCAACTCTTCTCAAGCAGTTTTTGCTTTTACCACTCATGAGCAGCTCAGCACTGTCAAACTCTGCATTTCAGTTGATCAGCTGTTGATGTCTCTGCTGGGAAAGACTTTATTTTTGCCTCTGTTTCCAAAATTTGTTTTGTTGCTCCTGCAAAGAAGTTTAATCTAACTATACCATGATTCCTGGTAGTTTGACAGAAATACTACAAATCAGAGGACAACTCAAGAAGCTGCTTGCTTCCCTTCTCACTGGCTCTTTAACTAGCTGCCCCAACATTATGCTCTGGCAATGACTTCTACTTATATCTCCACAGTGGCAGCTCAGGATTCCAATTATTACCATGTTTCCTGCCTTTCCAGTTTCCACAACTCCACTCAGAGCACTACTGTCACTAATTTCCATCTTGGTTACAAGTCAACAATGAAAGCCTACAACTATATACCTTTTCTGGCTTCCATTTCCTGGAGATTCTGATTTGCTGGCAAAGCAAATTTGTTAATAAGACACGATTTAAGTTTTCTTTCCTCACTGGCAGGGTCAAAACTGAATCTGTACTTTGTACCTCAGTCAGTAATCCAGCATCCTGATTCAATATGAATATGTCAGTAGCTTAGTTTAAAGTTACGTATTTATTTTATTTCAAATGCTTTGGAACTTGTGCGGACGAATACATAAACTTTAGTTTTCCATTTTCCAAAACCTTGTTAGAATGGGATTTGATTAGGTCTACTCTTAGAAGTTTTTTTCTCTTTTGTATTTTGTCTATGTATTTCCTATAATTTACTGGAGTATGCAGAGATAAACTGTTTGTTTGTTTTTGCAGCTTGTTCTCTAAAGGATCAGATAACCTGAACACTGCGTTCTTTCATATTTGTCAGCTTTATCCCTTTCTTCAACTTGAAAATATTTTCTTCTACAATCTTTTCAAAAGTGCTGGAAGTCTGATTCAGGGTTGTTTGTTTGTTTGTTTATGATGAAACCTCAAATCCTTTCCAAATAATTTATTCCGGAGACCTCTCTTCTTTCACCATTTCTACAGCCATGTCTTACACTCAATATTATCTCACTCAGTGCCAAGCCAATCAAAACACTTGTGTTACTCTTACAGAAAGGAGCTTTTACGCCCATGTGGGCAAACTAGAAAAACTTTGTGGGGAATTTCATGCCAACAGCAAGGTATATAGCACTACCTATGACATGTGTTCAAGTCTGTAATGCAGAAATGGAAAGTCCATTAAGACATGCAGTTGGGGTTCATTTCACTCAGCTTTGGTTATCTAAAAAGCCTAATACCCAGTCTAGTGCTGGTCACCGATTTATAGTAAATGGAGGAAGAAAAAAGCATCTCCAAAAAGCAATATACCTAACAGATTTTGGGACGAGGCAAACGCTGCTCTAGACTCTCTCAGTAAACTAAAGGTACACCTAATGAAGTCAGAGCAAGGTTTCTGGAAACAGTATGATCAGTGTATCTGATCACGACATTTGAGTTTTATCGTTATACAGATTAACAAGGTAAAACATCACATAATTAATACAGCAAGATGAGAAAATTCCAAGCATTCAGAAGTCTTCTGTAGATCTAATTTCGGTCTCTTCCACAACTGTTGCCCTAGCAGTCCTAGTACCACTCTCCTTGTCACATACAAATTAATTATGTCAAATATTTTGCAAGTGACATTAGAAGACAGATGTCACTCAACAAGACTGAACTACTTCATCAGCAGATTCTTCACCATGAGAAGTCCTAATTTAGGACCTGACCTAACAGCGACACCTGACCTGTGTCTTCTGGAGTTAGCAGACACAAATGAGCCTCAAGCCAAAAAGACAGTCCTTAGCTTTGGTTTGGTTAATGAATCTAGGATTTATTTCTAAAAGAGGAAGGTGATAATGTGTTGCCTCATATTTCTTAAATAACTCAATTTTAATAGATATGGAATAACTTTCTACCGAAAAAAGCAACTCAAGGATAGTATTGAGACCTTCAGGGACTCACTTATGTGAGTACTGAGAATACCATTAGAACCACTGTGAGGGAGAACACAAAAACATTTCTGGAAAGGATAATGAATTGTCATAGATCTTCCATTAAGTCAATTCCTAGAGACAAAAGCTATACTCTCTGTGGAAAGCTGTTTATGCCATATTTGCTTATTATGTGGCATCTCTACCTTCCTGTGAAGCATCTGGTGGCACTCTGACACGAGCAGGGCCTTAAAATACACAGACAGGCAGGGGGAGGTGTGGAGAGTGCCCTCACCCATTCCAAAACCCTCCTGTTTAAGAGCCTGTGTGCACAAAGAGAACACTCATGTAGGCGACTCAAAACATATTCAAAGACTACATTTGAACTTTAAAACAATGCATTATACTAGAAAAACTAAGCATGGAAACGGCTAGACAGTAAGGTACTTAGTTAGGGAATGCCAAGTGCAACTGAAAAAACAAAGCCTAGAATGGGAGCAGCATCCCAACTTCAGCTGAGGAGAACACTCAAACATAGACAACCATGAAAATAATGCATGATAAAAGTAACAGTGTGTTTTCTGCCACCTATTGGTATTTTTAGCTAACAATTAAGAAACAAAGGACTACACCACTTGCAAGGTACTGCCTCTATTGTCTCATAAGGGAATGCATAGATGGTCCACCCAGACTACCACTACACAATGATATTTGAAGCCAGTTTCTTTATGCAACTGTTTCAGTCTAATGTAGTCACTGTTGAAGAAAGTGCTGGGAACTTTGCTGGTCACAAAATACGGGTGACAAAAAACTGAAAAACCCTGCTTAAACTAAAACCAGTAGCTTAGGATACAAATAAACATTCAAATTCAACAGGTTACTATTACACTTGTTTTCAACTACTAAGAAATAATGATCAAAACATACAAATTTCATTAAAAAGTACATTTCTCAATGAGCTACATTTAACAAGGAGATCTAAGTTGTTGCCTATGATAAAAAAACCCAAACATTATGTAGATACTAACTCAATGTCCCTTCAATTCATATAGAAAACTGTTAATGTCATTTGTATAGACTTCCTACCAGTTATAATTAACATTAAAGAGGTCTTTTCTTCTTTGTCACCTCTCTATTCAGGCCTTATTTGTGTTTGTTTGTACTTACTATCTGTTAATCTCTCTTAACAAATGACAACAAGAACTGTTGCTATTATGCATGGAAATTAAACATGTAGATAACTGTGTGAAGGGAGCTATTTTTGAAAAAAGCAGTATCAGAAACATGTAGCTCTTTATGTCTCTTGTTTCCCTTTGATAATTAAGCCATAGCCTTGATTTGTTTTAAACAAAAAACTTTTCCGTGGACATGCATGTTGCAATCAAATTCAATACATGCATTATGTTCTGATTCAATT